CAAGCTGTGTGCGTTATACCTGCTTAGATGTCGTCCTTAATGGTCAATGCGAACTTGTCTGCTTCAAAAGTGTCCATGTGAGATGATAGGATGGAGAGATAAAGTGTGTACGACGATGAAGTCGATGTATCCCCATTTGCCTGATGTACTCGCTATATACCCTTCAAAGTCGACTCATACGATCACCGTCATCGCATCTGCTTCAACTGTATGCATGTCAAATGCTGGACTGCAAAGTCACAGTGAAAACATAGTCAAAGTTGGAGTTTTTTGTTCTGCATGCTGTGTGCGTATTTCTTGCTTGGAAGTCGTCTGATATAGTCAATGCGAACTTGTCTGCTTCAATAGTGTCGATGTAAGATGATAGGATAGGGAGATATAGTGTGCACAACAATGAAGTCGATGTATCTTCATTCGACTATTGTACTCGATATATATCCTTCAATGTCGACTTATACAATCACTGCGATTGTATATGCTTCATCTGTATGCAAGTCAGATGCTAGACTGCCGAGTTACAGTGTATACATAGTCGAAGTGTTAACAATGTAACTCTGCAGTCAAACATCTGACATGCATAGAGTTGAAGCAGATACGATGACAGTATCCGTATGAGACGACTTTGAAGGGTATTCGACGAGTACGATAGGCAAATGGAGAACCATCGACTTCATCGTTGTACACACTATATCTCTCTATCCTATCATTTCACATAGACACTATTGAAGCAGACAGGTTTGCAATGATTATATGAGACGACTTCCATGCAGGTATAACGCACACAGCTTGCAGAACAAGAAACTTCGACTTTGACTATGTTAACACTGTTACTCTGCAGTATAAATTATGGCATACATACAGTTGAAGCAGATACGACTGCAGTGACCATATAGGGCGACTTTGGAGGGTATATAGCGAGTACAACAGGCAAATGGGGATATATCAACTTCATCGTCGTGCACACTATATCTCTCTATCCTATCATCTCACATGGACACTAATGAAGCAGACAAGTTCACATTGACCATTTAGGACGACATCTGAGCCGTTATAACGCGCACAGTTTGCAGAACAAGAAACTTCGACTTCGGCTATGTTAACACTGTCACTCTGCAGTCTAGCATCTGACATGCACACAGTTGAAGCAGATACGATTGCAGTGACCGTATAGGTCGACATTGAAGGGTATATTACGAGTACAATAGGCAAATGAAGATACATCGACTTCATCGTTGTGCACACTATATCTCTCTATCCTATCATCTTACATTCACACTATCGAAGCAGACGAGTCTGCATCAACCATATAAGACGACTTAAAAGCGGGTATAACGCACACAGCTTGCAGAACAAGAAACTACGACTCTGACTGTGTTTACATTGTATTTCTGCAGTCCAGAATCTGACATGCACACAGATGGAGCATATACGATTGCAGTGACCGTATAAGTCGACATTGAAGGGTATATAACGAGTACAATAGGCAAATGAAGATACATCTACTTCATCGTTGTGCACACTATATCTCTCTATTCTATCATCTCACATGGACTCTATCGAAGCAGACTAGTTCACATTGACCATATAAGACGACATCCATGCAGGTATAACGCACACAGTTTGCAGAATAAGAAACTTCGACTTCGACTATGTTTACACTGTAACTCTGCAGTCTAGCATCTTACATGCACACAGTTGAAGCAGAAACGATTGCAGTTACCGTATGAGACGACTTTGAAGGGTATATAACGAGTACAATAGGCAAATGGAGATATATCGACTTCACCGTTGTCTCTATCCTATCATCTCACATTGACACTATCGAAGCAGACGAGTCTGCATTAGTCATATAAGACGACTTCCAAGCGGGTATAACGCACACAGCTGGCAGAACAAGAAACTACGACTTTGACTATGTTTTCATTGTAACTCTGCAGTCCAGAATCAGACATGCATACAGATGGAGCATATACGATTGCAGTGACCGTATAAGTCGACATTAAAGGGTATATAACGTCGATGTATCTCCATTCGACTATTGTACTCGTTATGTATCTCCAATGTCGACTGATACGGTCACTGCAATTGTATATGCTTCACCTGTATGCAAGTCAGATGCTAGACTGCAGAGTTACAGTGTAAACATAGTCGAAGTCGAAGTTTCTTGTTCTGAAAGCTGTGTGCGATATTCACGCTTGGAAGTCGTCTAATATGGTCAATGCAAACTTGTCTCCTTCAAAGTCATATCATACGGTCACTGCCATCGTATCTGCTCAACAGTATGCATGTGAGATACTAGACTGCAGAGTTCCTGTGTGAAAATAGTCGAAGTCGGAGTTTCTTGTACTGCTGGTTGTGTACGATATACCTGCTTGGACGTCGTCTCATGTGGTTATTGCGAACTTGTCTGCTTCAATAGTATCCATGTGAGATGATGGGATAGAGATATAAAGTATGCACACCGATGAAGTCGATGTATCCCCATTTGCCTGTTGTACTCGCTATATACCATTCTGAGTCGTCTTATATGGTCATTGCGATCGTATCTGCGTCAACTATATACATGTCAGATGCTAAACTGCAGAGTTCCAGTGTGAACATAGTCAAAGTCGGAGTTTCTTGTTCTGCAAGCTGTGTGCGTTATACCCGCTTGAGAGTCGTCTCATATGGTCAATGCAAACTTGTCTGCTTCAATAGTGTCGATGAAAGATGATGAGATAGAGAGATATAGTGTGCAGAACGATGAAGTCGATGTATCCCCATTTGCCTGTTGCACCCGTTATATGCCCTTCAAAGTCGGCTCATACGGTCACTGACATCGTATCTGCTTCAACTTCATGCATGTCAGGTGCTAGACTGCAGAGTTACAGTGTAAACATAGTCGAAGTCGAAGTTTCTTGTTCTGAAAGCTGTGTGCGATATTCACGATTGAAAGTCGACTAATATTGTCAATGCGAACTTGTCTCTTTCAAAGTCATATCATACGGTCACTGCCATCGTATCTGCTCAACTGTATGCATGTAAGATACTAGACTGCAGAGTTCCTGTGTAAAAATAGTCGAAGTCGGAGTTTCTTGTACTGCTGGTTGTGTACGATATACCTGCTTGGACGTCGTCTCATGTGGTTATTGCGAACTTGTCTGCTTCAATAGTATCCATGTGAGATGATGGGATAGAGATATAAAGTGTGCACACCGATGAAGTCGATGTATCCCCATTTGCCAGTTGTACTCGCTATATACCATTCTGAGTCGTCTTATATGGTCATTGCGATCGTATCTGCGTCAACTATATACATGTCAGATGCTAAACTGCAGAGTTCCAGTGTGAACATAGTCAAAGTCGGAGTTTCTTGTTCTGCAAGCTGTGTGCGTTATACCCGCTTGAGAGTCGTCTCATATGGTCAATGCAAACTTGTCTGCTTCGATAGTGTCGATGAAAGATGATGAGATAGAGAGATATAGTGTGCAGAACGATGAAGTCGATGTATCCTCATTTGCCTGTTGCACCCGTTATATGACCTTCAAAGTCGTCTCATACGCTCACTGACATCGTATCTGCTTCAACTTCATGCATGTCAGGTGCTAGACTGCAGAGTTACAGTGTAAACATAGTCGAAGTCGACGTTTCTTGTTCTGCAAGCTTTGTGCGTTATACCTGCCCGAAAGTGGTCTTATATGGTCATTGCCAACTTGTCTGCTCCAATAGTATCCATGTGAGATGATAGGATAGAGATTGAAGTGTTCACACCGATGAAGTCGATGTATCCCTATTTGCCTGTTGTACTTGCTATATACCCTTCTAAGTTGTCTTATATGGCCATTGCGATCGTATCTGCGTCAACTGTATACATGTCAGATGCTAAACTGCAGAGTTTCAGTGTGAACAAATCAAATTCGGAGTTTCTTGTTCTACGAGCTGTGTGCGTTATACCCGCTCGGAAGTCGTCTTATATGGTCAATGCAAACTTGTCTACCTGAAAGTGTCAAGGTGAGATGATAGGATAGAGAGATATAGTGTGCACAACGATGAAGTCGATGTATCTTCATTCGTCTTCTGTACTCGTTATATACCCTTCACTGTCGTCTTATATGGTCATTGCAATCGTATATACTTCAACTGTATGCATGTCAGATGCTAGACTGCAGAGTTACAGTGAACACATGGTCGAAATTGAAGTTTCTTGATCTGCAAGCTGTGTGCGTTATACCAGCTTGGGAGTCGTCTGATATGTTCAATGTGAACTTTTCTGCTCCAATAGTGTCTATGTGAGATAATAGGATAGATAGATATAGTGTGCACAGCGCTGAAGTCGATATATCCTCATTTGCCTGTTGTACTCGCTACATACCCAAATTCGCCTTATATGGTCACTTCGATCGTATCTGTTCCAATTGTATACATGTCAGATGCTAGACTGCAGAGCTACAGTGTAAACATAGGCAAAGTCGAAGTTTCTTGTTCTGGAAGCTGTGTGCATTATACCCGCTCCGATGTCGTCTTATATGGTCAATGCGAACATGTCTGCTTCAATAGTTGTTACGTGTTCGTTCGGAAGACGGGAATATTCCGATGTAGCACTCAAGAATTAGTTTTGTTTCGTTGATAATCATAAGCACTATAATACAGAGTATACAAGAGTACTACTTACCACTCGTACATAGGGAACTGTCGCATTCTATAGACCTCTAGGGGCGTGGGGAAATGAGTGGCTACCAACAAATAATATTCATTTGCTTCATATTAGTAAACAGTGGTCTGACTATCTCATACCAAAGGTCATAAAGAACGTTGTGATTCATGGAAGGATAGTCGTGTCGCGTTCCAGTGACTCTTCTATGACAGTCCAATCAATAGAACTTATTCTCCCAGCCTAATTGGTTCTGCGGAGCCTTTAGTTACATTGTTTGACCCGAAAGGCCCCTTCCGAACCATAACACTTGTTCACCTGCAATTCATAACCTCAAACATATAAATAAATCAGAAATGACATGCGACAGCTCCAATTCTTCTTCTTTGCCGTTCTGGATTTCATGATAGGACCTTGCTCCTACGTTCACCTCGTCAGAGACGAGCTCGTGAACGAACGCCCCGATACTATACAGTCGATAACCCGGGCCGCAGTTACCCACGGTAGGCATATTTAGTAGTTAGACATTGGTTTATCGGCCATAAGGTTAACCGGAGCCTTTAATCAGAATCGGTTGACAGATGACAAAGTGTAGTAGACCTTAGACATTGTTACTCGAGGGTTGAGGCGGGGGAGAGAATCTGCGGGGAGTCAGGCATTGCAGGTTATAATTTTCCTGGTGGAATATTCACTTTCGCACTTATTGCGGATTTTGTCTGAAATAATAAATCGGAGAGACTATCGTGATTTGGTGGTTTTCGCACCACACCCATTGGGGATATTAAATTGACATAGTTATATCCGATTCCCAATTGTGAATCTTCCTTGCTTCCATAAATATCTTCCAGGCCACCCTTCATCCACAGGTATGTCTTATAATCAAATTATTATATTCCGAGCTTGATTATCCATGTCTGACCCTATTTCTTGTAGGCCTGTTAGTACTACCCTAACTGTCCTGGCAGCCCTTGGTCCCAGATCAAGACGTCCAGTATCACGGTTGGTGCACCTAGATTAGTCGCTTAATCATATCACTTGCTTATAGAAGAGTTGCTAACCACTACTTGAAGAAATTTGCATGCACTGTTAATTGCTTCATAGTGCCGACTGTAGTAGGGACCCTCTGAAAGCCCCGACGTAGGATGAGCTGTATCTACTAGAGATTGTCCATTATTGGCTAGACTATATACTGCTGGCTTGTCAGGGTTAAGTATCTGACTACATCCTTGTAAGATTTTTACTGATAGGTCTAACCCTGCGGCATCTCAGTTGTAACCCCTTCAGGCGCTGATTTAGAGTTAATAAATAGTTTAAGTTGTCTTATGTGTTTCATTCAAGTCTCCTTCAGCGGCCATTCCACGACCCATCTCACTGAGCGAACAAGGGTAAGCAGAGTTAACAAGTTTGTTCAAATTCAATTGATTTGTACAACTAACGCTTTAACGTTATCGGAATTTTTGTAAGTAATTGAGTAACAAGTTGGCGCCCAAACGTGTACTGAGTTCGAAAATGTTTTGTGGCTGGTGAGGTGGAGATTTGGGTGAAATTGTTGTTTAAAATAGTATAAGATTCATTTAACACCTAAGGGTGGAAACAGTAAAAGTATAACACCAGGTTCATGTATAACTACTCATAGGTATACTTCAAGGTTGAAGTCTAGGGCGCACCTATATTACTACTATATTTAAAAAAAAATACCACATATAGTTGGTAAGATATATAACTGAATCTTGAGCAAATGTTTCAGATTGAGTGATTCTTAACAGGTGATTTAGTTCTTACAGTCTCACTGGAACATCGGTATATATAGGGCAAGCAGTTCTTCTTGGTGTGACTATCTATAAGCAAGATTCAAATTATAAAGTTAATCAAGTAATAATGAATTGAGCTCGAAGAGGGAAAGCTTATATCGAGTATATCAAAATAATCTCAAGAATAATTGGCTGATGAGTCGAATTGGGTCGAAAATATTCACTACATAAAGGCTATAGTTCGTATACAGGGTTCATTCAGGTGATTGTCCGAATTGATTCTGCAAGTACATTTTCGGCGACAGCATTATACAGGGTATTTTTGTTGCAGTTCAATTCATTTTACCACCAAGCAAACGTGCTAGGGGAGTTGGTTGGTTTAGTTGATTCAGAGTTTCTAATCAGTCCTGGGTTTAGTAAGGTGTGGGGTGGGGTTCGGTGTATATCTATATAATTTTTTTTTTTTTTTAATTGAAATCTGCAGGTCGGTGATCGGTGATATAAAATAATTGTTGAATTTCGGCAAGTGACCAAGAGTGAACCGACTATGGACGTGAATCGGTTATTAGGAGACGAACTCAGATACGAATTGTACATTCGCGGACAATCCTCAAATAATACGGTGGCAGACAATCGAGCACGAATACGAGAAGTATTTAGATCAGAGTGGCAAGGTGACATGACGCATTTTCCGAAGGTCTCCTTGTACTTCGACAATAAATTGGAAATTTGTAGTAGGAAACTTGAGGAATTGCAGCAAAATATAGATGACTTCGATCAGAACAACCGCGAGAACGAATATCGAAGAATTTACTCCAGGCTTTTACACATATCCGGTCGCTCGAACCGTCTATCAGGCAAGGACGTTGGGGAAGGAATATCAAGACTAAGAGTGGTGAATAAATGTTCTCAACTGATTGATAGAGTACGTTTAGTGGATGAGGGACTGTATACAACTCTCAACTCCCAATATGGCGAGGAAACCGATTTCCTAACCGGCAGAGTTCCTTCCACTTCAGCCCCTCTTCAAAATCAGCACCAGCAGCCGTTCTTTCTTCCTGTTCGCCTTGAACCCAGCAGGGAGGAAGGTCAGTCTACATCACTCCTAGACACGCCAGTACCAAATACTGTTGAGGGCCCAGAATAGTGTGGAGCAGTCTCCTCTGATCTGGTTGATATTGGGGAGCCTTCCAGTTCTCCAACCGTAGAACCCCTTCCATTTCAATATGAACAGGATGAAAGGAACAGACCTTGGCAAGAAGGTTTCCAACCTAAACCCAGTCACCCAACTCAATACGAACAGGAGAGAAGGAACAGACCTTGGCAAGAAGGTTCCCAACCTAAACCCAGTCACCCAACTCAATACGAACAGGAAAGAAGGGACGGACCTTGGCAAGAAGGGTCCCAACCTGAACCCAGTCACCCCACTCAATACGAGCAGGAGAAAACGGACAGACCTTGGCAGGAAGGGTCCCAACCTAAACCCAGTCACCCTACTCAATGCGAGCAGGAGAGAAGAGACAGACCTTGGCAAGAAGGGTCCCAACCCGAACCCAGTCACCCTACTCAATACGAGCAGGAGAGAAGGGACAGATCTTGGCAAGAAGGGTCCCAACCCAAACCCAGTCACCCAACTCAATACAAACAGGAGAGAAGGAACAGACCTTGACAAGAAGGGTCCCAACCCAAACCCAGTCACCCAACTCAATACGAGCAGAAGAGAAGTGACAGACCTTGGCAAGAAGGGTACCAACCAAAACCCAGTCACCCTACTCAATATGAGCAGGAGAGAAGGTACAGGCCTTGGCAAGAAGGGTGTCAATCCAAACCCAGTTCTCCAACTCAATACGAGCAGGAGAGAAGGGACAGACTTTGGCAAAAAGGGTCCCAACCCAAACCCAGTCACCCTACTCAATACGAGCAGGAGAGAAGGGACAGATCTTGGCAAGAAGGGTCCCAACCCAAACCCAGTCACCCAACTCAATACAAACAGGAGAGGAGGAACAGACCTTGGCAAGAAGGGTCCCAACCCAAACCCAGTCACCCAACTCAATACGAGCAGAAGAGAAGTGACAGACCTTGGCAAGAAGGGTACCAACCTAAACCCAGTCACCCTACTCAATATGAGCAGGAGAGAAGGTACAGGCCTTGGCAAGAAGGGTGTCAATCCAAACCCAGTCCTCCAACTCAATACGAGCAGAAGAGAAGGGACAGACCTTGGCAAGAAGATTCCCAACCCAAACCCAGTCACCCATTTCAATACGAGCAGGAGAGAAGTGACAGACCTTGGCAGGAAGGGTCGCAACCCAAACCCAGCCACCCAACCGGACGACCAGGTATCGACAATTATGAGGAGATGGTGGGAGAAACCTTTCAGGACGAGGGCGAGAAACTTGGGGTTCAAAGCAATGTAAAGCGTCGTGAAAATAAATTCTTTGAATGGAAAAAGAACCCGCAAAACTATCCTAGAGAATCGCGTGACCTTGCAGCCAATTGGCCCCAATGTGGTTACCCGGGTAAGCCAGGCGGAACGGTTTCCCATGGGAAATTCCACTCACACGTACGTTTCGACCCTAATAATACTGCGACGGGGTAAGATCTGAAATATGCCTCTCGAATGGCTCAGGTTCATTCTACTCGATTCGACGAAGATTCGGGAGGTGGGCTACACCGTCAGATGGGAGCTCTTAACTTGTGCCCTGTTCAACATGGTCATGATGTTGCATCACCACCTCAGTGGGGAGATGTCCGTACCGTAGATCTTCCACGTTGGAACCTGTGGTTTAATGGCCGTACCAGCGTGAACGATTTCATAGAACGTGTGGAGGGAATTCGTCTAGCGCGAGGCATTTAAAAAAATCAGCTCTTGCGATTTGCGCCGGAGTTATCTGTCCAAGAAGCACTGCTGTGGTATTGAACGGGACACTTCTTGAGTTGGGATGATTTGGTTGCCTAGTTGCGCGGCGCCTTCAGACCCTATGACTATGAATTTAGTCTGTGGGACGAAATTCGTCGCAGGACACAGGGAGCACAGGAGCGGGTCTTGACCTCCATTATTGCTATGGAGAACCTGTTCAGAGAACTAGATCATCCTCCGGTCGAAGAGGTCCGTGTGAACCTAATGAGGAGGAACCTCCTCCCGCACCTACAAACACATCTCTCTCTTCAGGAGATCAAGACCATTAACGATCTCATCCGTCTTAGTCGCACGGTGGAAGAAACTGAGCTGCGGGCGCAAAAGTTTACCCCACCCCTCACTAATTACCGTAGTATGTTGGAGCCAGAATTAGCATATCGACGGCCGCAGCCATCTCCAGCACTTGCAGTGGTCACCACACCTCGACCCACCGTACCCATAGTTGTACAGTCTGGAACTCAATCAGCACTCAATGATGTTTCAAGAGGCCCCGTCATCGCCGCCACAGAAGCGCAGGCACTTTCTGTCAACCCCGCTACGACACCGACAACTATTCTGAGTCTCTGTTGGAACTGCGGTAGTCGACAGCATAAATTCCGGATGTGCCCTCAACCTCGCAAGAGGTTCTGTTCCAAGTGCGGACGTGAAAATGTATTTTCCAACTCGTGTCCTAATTGTCAAAAAAATGGGCAGAGGGGCCAACAGTAAGCCGGCTGATGGTTTCTCAATTCCAAACGGTTCCCCATGTCCAACAAATAATCTTAGACTATGTCCTAGCGCACGCTAAGCACGATTCAAGACCTTACCTACAAGTCACGCTGTATGCACAGCCGGTATTAGGTCTTCTAGATAGTGGTGCTTCCCACAGCATTATGGGTGGGCGAGGGTGGGCCATCCTCGAGCAAAGTTGCTCCTTAATGCCTCCCAACCAGCCCACCTGCACGGTGGCAAACGGCCAGACATGCGAAGTCCGCGGAATAGTATCCACTCCGATAGAGTTTTGTGGCCGCATAAAAGTAATAGAGGTGTAAGTGGTACCCTCTCTACCCCATCCTCTTATACTGGGGATGGATTTTTAGCGTGCAATGCAGATCATTCCCGATATGTACTCGGGCGAATGGCACTTCCGGGACGACCAGCAGGTTACAATGGGCCAACCAGCCGTTGCTCTGAGCTCAGTGGACAATTTAACCGCCGAACAAAAGTCTATATTGGAGGCGTTAGTAGAAGAAACTTTCCAAGCGCTAGGCGACAAGTTAGGACGGACAAGTCTGGTCGAACATTTTATCCGAACAGATAGCCCTCCAATACGCAAAAGGCATTATCCCCTGTCACCCGCTCTACAGAAGCAAGTGAATGAAGAGATTGAGGAAATGTTGAAGGACGAGATCATCGAGCCTTCCCCAATTCTCCTGATACGGAAGAAAGACGGAAAATATCGGTTCGTAGTGGACTTCCGAGAGTTGAATAAGGTGACAGCGCGGGATGCCTACCCCTTACCGTTCGTCAGTGCTACATTGGACAAACTGCGGAATTCTCACTTAGTGACAACCCTTGACATCAAATCAGCATATTGGCAGATTCCGCTGTCAGAAGAATCTGAGATCCTCACCGCTTTTGTAGTGCCAAATCGAGGGCTGTACCAATTCCGAAGGATGCCTATGGGGCTGCACAATGCTCCGGCCACGCGGCAGAGATTTATCGACCGTCTGGTGGGAGTGGACCTGGAGCAGCACGTATTCGTGTTCCTTGATGATGTTATAATTTGTACTCCTACCTTCGAGGAGCATATTGAGGTATTACGAAATGTACTCTCCCGTCTTCGAGACGCGGGGCTAACCCTCAATCGAGGAAAATGCCACTTCTGCAAGCCTGAGCTACGTTATCTTGACTACGTAGTTGGGGCGGGTGGCCTCATGGTTGACCCGGAGAAGGTAGAGGTCATAATGCGGATCCCGACACCAACCGGGGTAGAGGACGTGAGAAGAATTATTGGCTTGACATCTTGGTAACGCCTGTTTGTGCCAAATTTTCCTTCAATAACAGCACCACTCACCAACTTATTGAAGAAAAACCAAATATTCGACTGAGATGAAACTTGTAACCAGGCATTTAATACTCTTGAAGGCCATTTAGTGTCGGCTCCAATCCTGTCTTGTCCAAACTTTGATCTGCCGTTTGTGGTACAGACCGATGCCTCCGATTTCGGTATCGGTGCTATACTTTCGCAGGTGCGGGAAGGGGGAGAAGAGGACCTCAAGACAGGAGGGAATGAAACGGTAATATGTTACTTGAGTCGTTCCCTTACCAAGGCCGGGAGAAAGTTCAGCACCACCGAAAAGTAGTGTCTGGCGGTGCTGTATGCGATCGCGAAGTTCCGGCTATTCATTGAGGGCACCAAGTTCTTCGTATCGACAGATCATCATAGCCTCAAGTGGCTTAACAACATTAAGGATCCAGTGGGACGGATAGCAAGATTGGCTGTCCGGCTTAAACAGTACGATTTCGAAATCATTCATCGACGGGAAAAAAAACATGTGGTACCCGACTGTCTATCACGGGCGGTGCCCTGTGTCGATACTGTTGAACTGGACTGCCCTACCATTGATAATACCACCGATCGTTGGTTTATCGAAATGTCTGGACAGGTGAGTAGTGAACCAGAGAAATACCCGCAATGGAGGAAGGAAGGCGGGCAACTTTTCAAACGAGTATCTTGTTCTTACCCTGGCCTTCACTGGGAAAACGACAGCTGGTTGAGAGTAATGCCGAAGGAACGCAGGGAGGATATCATAAGGGCCCATCATGACCCTTCCACCTGTGGTCATTTGGGTATGTTAAAAACATTAGCCCGGGTCAGGAAGAGGTACTATTGGCCTGAAATGAGGCAGGATATTGCCCGATATATAAGACGGTGCCAAATTCGCCTTCGGACGAAGCCGGAGCAGAGACCGCCTGCTGGACTAATGCTAAGCTCTGCCCCCACACTATGTCGTCCATGGCAAGCCTTGAGCATGGACATCATTGGACCTCTTCCTAGATCGGGGTCCGGATATTGCTATATTTTGTCTATCAGCGACGTTTTCACCAAATATATTTTATTATTTCCTCTTCGGCAGGCCGTAGCCAAGAAAGTGGCCGAGATCTTCGAGTATCAGGTGATTTTGATGTTTGAGGCCCTGCAACGCGTGATTATGGACAATGGGGTCCAATTCCGGAGCAAGGTCTTGATGGACATTTTCGCGAAATATGAGATCAAACCGGTCCACAATTCGAATTACCATGCTCAGGCAAACCCCGTCTAAAGAATTCACCGTGTAATCAGAACAATCTTAACGGCGTATGTTGAGACCAATCATCGTCGATGGGATAGATATCTCCAAGCCGTGGCGTGCGCGATACGCACCGCAAAGCATGAGGTGACGCAAGTCACACCCAACCTCATCATGTTGGGTCGAGAAATCTCCCTATGCGGTGAGAACGTACTGAGTACGCAACCGACGACTCAGGGTCTAGACCCAGTAATTTTCAACCCAGGAACACGTTCTGAAGAATTTAATACACTATTCAAGGATGTCGCGGCTCGACTAAAGAAAGCCTTCGAGTCTAGTCGTCACCGGTACAACTTAAGGTGAAGAGATGAGACCTTTGAACTAGGACAGAGGGTTTGGAAAATAAAACTATTCCCTGTCGGATGCCTCGAAGGGGATCACGGCAAAATTCATGCCAAGATACGAAAGCCCGTTTACAATGTCGGAAATTCCGTCTCCCTGGTCGTACGAACTGAAGGATGAGGATGGAAAGTCGCGCAAAGTATGGCAAGCCAAGGACATAAAGGCCCATCCTCCAGAAGATAACTAGCGATAATTTCAGTAATTATACGGCATCGAGTGCTGGCTAGAAAGAATATGGCTGCGAAATTATTAGCCATAAGGGCAGGAAGCTCAAGGACATGGGGTTATTACGAATTGTATGGGACCAGTATTTCGATTGATCAGCTAAGAGAGAATCCTTTTTTTTTTCTTTTCTGTTTCTTTTTTTCTTCATTACGTGAGAGGAGAGTTGTTACGTGTTCGTTCGGAAGACGGGAATATTCCGAGGAAGCACTCAAGAATAAGTTTTGTTTCGTCAATAATCATACGCACTATAATACAGAGTATACAAGAGTACTACTTACCACTCGTACATAGGGAACTGTCGCAATCTATAGCCCTCTAGGGGCGTGGGGAAATGAGTGACTACCAACAAATAATATTCATTTGCTTCATATTAGTGAACACTGGTCTGACTATCTCATACCGAGTGTCATGAAGAACGTTGTGATTCATGGGAGGATAGTCGTGTTGCGTTCCAGTGACTCTTTTATGGCAGTCCAATCAATAGAACTTATTCTCCCAGCCTAATTGGTTCTGCGGAGCCTTCAGTTACATGGTTTGACCCGAAAGGCCCCTTCTGGACCATAACACTTGTTTACCTTCAATTTATAACCCCAAACAT